CTGTGGCCTTTTGGATCAACTATAAACACTTCTGATTTCTGTCATACAGTGTCTTTTCTAGTATAACCTGGACCTTTTGGATCAACTATAAACACTTCTGATTTCTGTCATACAGTGTCTTTTCTAGTATAACCTGGACCTTTTGGATCAACTATAAACACTTCTGATTTCTGTCATACAGTGTCTTTTCTAGTATAACCTGGACCTTTTGGATCAACTATAAACACTTCTGATTTCTGTTATACAGTGTCTTTTCTAGTATAACCTGGACCTTTTGGATCAACTATAAACACTTCTGATTTCTGTCATACAGTGTCTTTTCTAGTATAACCTGGACCTTTTGGATCAACTATAAACACTTCTGATTTCTGTCATACAGTGTCTTTTCTAGTATAACCTGGACCTTTTGGATCAACTATAAACACTTCTGATTTCTGTCATACAGTGTCTTTTCTAGTATAACCTGGACCTTTTGGATCAACTATAAACACTTCTGATTTCTGTCATACAGTGTCTTTTCTAGTATAACCTGGACCTTTTGGATCAACTATAAACACTTCTGATTTCTGTCATACAGTGTCTTTTCTAGTATAACCTGGACCTTTTGGATCAACTATAAACACTTCTGATTTCTGTCATACAGTGTCTTTTCTAGTATAACCTGGACCTTTTGGATCAACTATAAACACTTCTGATTTCTGTCATACAGTGTCTTTTCTAGTATAACCTGGACCTTTTGGATCAACTATAAACACTTCTGATTTCTGTCATACAGTGTCTTTTCTAGTATAACCTGGACCTTTTGGATCAACTATAAACACTTCTGATTTCTGTCATACAGTGTCTTTTCTAGTATAACCTGGACCTTTTGGATCAACTATAAACACTTCTGATTTCTGTCATACAGTGTCTTTTCTAGTATAACCTGGACCTTTTGGATCAACTATAAACACTTCTGATTTCTGTCATACAGTGTCTTTTCTAGTATAACCTGGACCTTTTGGATCAACTATAAACACTTCTGATTTCTGTCATACAGTGTCTTTTCTAGTATAACCTGGACCTTTTGGATCAACTATAAACACTTCTGATTTCTGTCATACAGTGTCTTTTCTAGTATAACCTGGACCTTTTGGATCAACTATAAACACTTCTGATTTCTGTCATACAGTGTCTTTTCTAGTATAACCTGGACCTTTTGGATCAACTATAAACACTTCTGCGGAGGAGCTGGAGGAAGTGTCTGGAGAGAGGGAAGTCTGGGCATCTTTGCTTAGACTGCTGCCCCCGTGACCCGGTCCCGGATAAGCGGAGGAAAATGGATGGATAGATGGAACCTGGACCTTACCACGCCTAGCTTCCCCAAAAACCACTGTCAAACTATCCCCTGAACAAACATACCAAATTTTAAGAAGTGGTCTTTAGGGGTTATACTAGGTGTAACTTCACTCTTCACACAGTATCTGTGATCAGGCTAGATGTTACCACTGAGCCTCCTGAGCTTTCAAAGCATCACGTCATGTCATATAATAGACAGGGCGCATTTGAAGTTATTATATTTGCTGGAAACTATTCAACAATTATTCGAAGACTATAGAACAAATGTCACACTGTAGAGAGGATCTCCCAGTATCAGACACATGTTGATACTGATCAGTGCACTCAAAGGAACATAGGCCACTATACAAGCCAGGCCTGGACAAGTGGAAACACATGCACCGTGAGTAATGATAATGGAATTAATAAAACTCCTGCAGTGCCAAAACTGAAGCAGTCAGACCAACAGCTCAAACAGTGCTCCACTATATAGCAGGGTGGATGGAGTGGGGTGGTGGTTCTGCTCTGTACCCTCAATAAGCATAGGGACAGTTTCTTATGGACCCCTGTGTTTTCCACAGATTTAACGCAACTATATTTACTTACTATTTGAAAATTATGCATATTTTTTTTCCTGAACACTGAAAAAATACTTTAGATTAGGTCTCAATATTGAGCACAAAATGTGACCTTAGCACCAAGATTAAAAAATAATTAGGCTAATTACTGAAATTTGGCATCTTCCTCTTACGACACATGCACCCTTGTTGTACCTTTTTGTTTGTTTTGGTTTGAGGTTTTGTGGGACACAATCCCCGCTACTGCAACAGCACACTAAAGGTCTTTGCTTGACAAAACTGGACAGAAGCCCCAAAACAACATGGCAGAAAGCCCAGTTCTTGCGGTGTCCAGGAACAGTACCGGGACCAGCTTAGCTTGTGTGGCTTGCTTCACATTACTGAAATGGCTCAACCGTGGCAAATGTCAAATACTTGAGCAATCACGCAGCAAAGCCCTTTGATAATAGTACGTACACCTCGAGGGAATGTGTTGAAAAATGAATTTACATTATATTCATTATCAACATCTTAAACTTTTCACTGTAAAAATAAGTTTAAATTGTTTTCTTTTGTCTAATGCAAAAATATTTTATTGGCTCCATTTATTAGTTGGCATAATTGCTATATAATAGACAACGAGGGGCAGTATTAGAGCCATTTTTGTATTAGTAATATAATTAAGTAATTAGGTACAGTCATGGCCAAAAACAGTGGCACCCCTGCATTTCTGTCAGATAACGCACCACTTCTCCCAGAAAATTGTTGCAATCACAAAGTCTTTGGTATTCTCCTGTTTATTTCTTTTGTTTGCATTAGAACAAAAAAGCTGAGAAAAAAGCCAAGTCTGATACATTCCACACAGAACTCACCTCAGACCCAGCAGCTGCCCCCCGCAATGATCACCTCCCTTCCCCCCAACCCTGCATCCCTGAAGATCTGTGAATCATCCCAGACATCCTCCACTCTAAACTGACCCAGCTCACTGTGCCTGCCCCTACCTGTCAGTGGATTACGAGCTTTCTGACAGACAGGAAGCAGCAGGTGAGGCTGGGGAAAACCACATCCTGTACCCGGACAATAAGCACAGGCGCCCCCCAGGAATGTGTGCTCTCCCTGCTGCTGTTCTCCCTCCACACAAGTGACTGCACCCCAGAGGACCCCTCTGTTAAACTCCTAAAGTTCGCAGATGACACAACAGTCATCAGTCTCATCTGAGATGGTGACGAGTCGGCCTACAGACGGGAGGTTGAACAGCTGATCCTGTGGTGTAGCCGCAACAACCTGGAGCTCAACATGCTCAAAACAGCAGAGATGACAGTGGACGTTAGGAAGAGTGCCCCACCCCCCACCAACCCACCATACTCAGCAGTAGAATTCTTCAAGTTCCTGGGCTCCACTGTCTCCCAGGACCTGAAGTGGACGTCCAACATCAGCACCATCACCAAGAAGGCACAGCAGAGGATGTACTGCAGCTCAGGGAGTTCGACCTGCCGAGTTCGACCTGCCCCAGGAGCTGCTGATACAGTTCTACAGAGGAATCATCGAGTCTGTTCTCTGCTCAGCAACCAAACAGGACAGGATCAGACTCCAGTGACAATCAGAGCTGCAGAAAGAACCTTCGCTGCCAGCCTGCCCTCCATAGAGGACCTGAACACCTCACAGGTCAGAGGAGGGCAGAGAAGATTTCTGCAGACCCCTCACACCCTGGACACAGACTATTCAAACTCCTCCCCTCTGGACGGTGCTACAGGTCACTGTGAGCCAAAACAACCAGATACAGAGACAGTTTCTTCCCCCAGGCCATCACACTGATGAACACTTAACCCATGACAGTATGACTGGACAATAATCCTCAGTGAAATACCTGTAAATATACTTGTATATATCCATCTGAAAAAAACTGCATTCAAACTGTGTATACACATTTCTGTAAGTACTTTATCTAGATTTTTTTTATTTTCCTAATGCACATTCCTTTTTCTTGTTTGGACATTCTTTTTCTTTTCCTGTGCTCCTGTCTTATCTTGTCTACTTGCTGCTTTATGGAAGAACATTGTACATACACATCAAAAGCCACTGTACCAGAGTCAAATTCCTTATGTGTCCAACACGCCTGGCCAATAAAGCTGATTCTGAAGTATATTAATATGTCAATTATTTTTTCAGCTAATTCTCTAGTCAATAAAATGTCATTAACATGGCCCAACAGAACCTTTTTTGCTCCTTGATCCACTCACTACCAGATCTGGAAATGCAGATTTTGGAGAAACTAGGCCCAGATGTCTCTGATTTTTTTTTTATTTCCTTTGGCTTGATCACCAGGTTACATCTAGCCTTAATTACCAAAAAGGGACAGTGGGCATCTGCTCAGTCTCTAGAGCCATAAAGGCCCCCAAAGCCCCAAATCCGCTGTGTATGCTTAGTTTGAATCATCTGTAGAGCTGTCATTGTTTCAGAATCCTGGCTGCAGCCCTGCTGGTGCTGATGATGTGGGTGATCAGCATCCCTTCACCTGACTCTAACTGTGCTTGTGGAGACCATCGCCCAGGCCCACAGCCACATACTTAGCATGACGAGTACCCTAGTTCACAGCATGTCATACAACACACTATAACTACTGTACACCACAGAGGCTCCGTTCCAGAAAAGCAGACGCGGAAGTAAAGGGAGTCTGCCACTCATAACGATGCCACGGCAAACAGCTGCGTACTTCACAACCTGAGAATCGTTTTAAACACAGCATGAGCAGGAGAGGCTGCCCACGTCCATTTCAAAAGCCTCGACCTTACAGACGCTTCTGGACGTTAGCCTCCTCCCCGCGCTGATTATCACGGCGAGTTGTAATAATGACGAGCGAACCAGGGGTTAACATTTACTGACAAGTACAGGTTGCTGGTTTGTATATTTGGTGTAAGCCATAGGTCTAAACGATCCCCAAAGGCCATGTTGTTCTATAGGATAACTATGACTTTGCAGAAAAAAAAAGTTATATTATTTCCTAATCGAGTTTGTTATCACTTTCTTTTCCTGTAACACATTAAGTCTGTCGGTCCTGGACACATTAGGATGCCATTACTGAAATAACCCGACATATAGGCTATCAGTATTATAATGATTACTTACCATTTATGTGTGCATTCTATCATCAGTTCTTGAAAAGAAGCCGCAAACTGGAACTTGGCCGCTTTCTTTCCGACCCGCTGGAGCCGCTTCCAAACCGAAGTCATGGTTAGGCTTGTCAAATAACCCTCTCCCAGACACGATAATGCGACATTAAAACGAAGGGCATATGTAACCCCGCTCCTGCGTCCCTTTACTGGGGAAACTCCACCTGATTCGTTGACCGGTCCTTATCGGGTCCTACTCCGCAGACAGGCTGCAAAACAAACACACGCCTCAACTCAGAGCTAGCGTCAAGCTAACTGGGAAAGCGGAAGACTGGAGACCAGGCCTTTCAAAATAAAACCTTTATTTAATTCTCTTAGTCGAAAAGCAGACCTGTGACAACAGACATTTGACCGAACATAGAGTTTTGATTTAATCCATTAAGTCACTATCAGTACATATTGATACAGGTAAAAAAATGACATTTAAATATGAGTTTAAAAATACTATGTTGAATTGAACTTTGTCTTATTAATGTGCAATAACATAGTGTAAAGCTGGTAATAGATTTAGAGACGTGGACAGAGTTGGACTTTTGGAATGAGTATGCAAGTATTATATTACAGTCTTACACACTGAACTGATAAATCAGAAACATCATTATTATATATTATATAAATTTGTACTGTCAGTACATCTTATTTCATCACAGCTTATTGTGGCCAACTTGACACACTTGTTATTAGGCAATATAATATACTATGCTTTTCAAGTCACACCTGCAGTGACTTCACTTTCTGTAAGATAATCTAATAATAATGGAGGTGTGTCCTTGCTAAAGTTACCAACGTATAAAGGCAAAACTGTCATTGTGAAATACATATATAGAAACAATACACCAGCCTAACAGCCTAATACCATAGAGGTAAAATACTGCAGTGCTCAGTGGGGTTACTTATCTGAAAGTCAAAGCTGTTTAAGCCTTAAACAAATATTACAATGTTTTCCCATCAGGGCTAGATTATTACTAGGTGCAGGCATAATTGGCTTTTATGTACTGTGATAAATAACAGAAGCAGACATTTTCTTCCTGCTTGAATCTGACTTCTGCAAATGACATAACAAAATGAATAGTAAATGGTCTTATAATGGATTTCTATGCAATGAAGCACACTCAAAGCTCTTTACAATACTTCCTAATTACCCACTAGCACACATTGTGTGATACAATGGAATGGCCACCAGGAGCAACCTGGGGTTTGCTGACTTGCCCAAATACACTTTGAGTGTCCTTGGGACCAACAAGGACACTCAAGGAGATTACCTGCTCTAACTCCTATAGCCACCCTGTAAGACTGTAACATAACAGATGCAGGCCTAGCCAAAGAGTCAAGAGAAGCTAAACAGCGATTAGTGAGTTCCCATGAAGCTGTGCTGAGGGATATTATCAAGGACTAAACAGAAAACAGAAAGTTGTTGTGAGCCTATCAGGGAAAGATTTCCCCTACCATGAGTCCCCTCAGCTAAAGGGACTTTTCCATTTTAGCCTAGAGTCTATTTATAATTTGCTGCTGACACATAGAGCAACTGGGAATATAATGTAGCTTATGAGAACACACACATATAAATAAACACCCTGTTTATACCCTGAATGATCATCTCATGTCAGGCAGCATCATTATGTTTTACAACTAAATAAATTTCTACATTACAAAACTTGACCTTCCTCTGATGGGTCATAAGTTATTCTTTACTTTATTAGCCTTTATTAACAAATCCACTACTGCACCCTAATGTTAAAAATATATATAATTTTACATGACTGTCTGACCATAATGTCACTCATAAAATTGGCAGTAAAGTTTCGATGTTACAGTGCAGTGACAATCATGAAGCCTACATTGTTTACTTGTTGCCACCTGATGGCAGCTATAAATAAAAACCACTGGTGTTTGTGCATTTTATAAGGAAGTTAACATGTTCCTCCCACAGTCCAAAGACATGCAGCTTAGGTTGATTGGCAACTCTACAAAATTGGCTATTATCCGGAAGGGCATCCAGCGTAAAACATGTCAAGTTTAACGTGCGCATCATCAGTTCGGTGGGGACTGATGATTCGCTGTGGCTACCCCTAATGGGAACAGCCGAAAGTAGAAGAAGAAGGAAGTTAACATGTTAGATATATACAATAGCTCTGTTTTGGTCTCCATCAACTCCTGAAAAAAATATCTGGTTCTTTAGCAGCTAAAGGCTCCATTATGTTAAGGTCTCTAATAAAACCTGTTGCTGAGCAGGTAGTATACAGTGGGGTTTTTTATTAATGTTTTCATTCTGCTGGCTGTAGTAGAAATAACTGTGATGAGTCATAACACCAGAACAATTACCTTAAATACCTTTAGAAAACTGTTAACACTGCTAAGCAGAAGAAAACTGCAAAGACTGGTGATAATTTTCTGGTTATTCATCAGTACAAGTGACTCTATTACAGACATTCATTTGATGCATGTAAAATATTGATCAGTGCAGCTTTACACATTTACACAAAGAGCCTGACCAGTTCTAACCTAAAAGCAGCCGGCCTGTGAAGCCCCTCGTGGTGGTGAATGATCAGCTCATCAATTACATGACCTACTCGATTACATGACCTAAGTGCTCTGGAGTACCTGGGGGTGGTTACGAGTTCATTAAGATAAGAAGGGGTGAGACCATATATATACCAACTAAATACAATCATGCAGAATACTGAGCCTTGTGGGAAATAAGCTTTTTGGTTACTCTGATCAAAAACTGCTAGCCCCCAACTGTACGAGTCTCTCCTTTGGTTAGTGTGTTTAAGAAAAAAAATTAAAAGCACATTTTTACTCATTAGCTTTTACCTAACTGGGTCAGGCATAATTCAGCTAATCTCTCTATTTGTGTCAGCAAAGTAATTTACCCATGTGCCTTCTTCTTATTAATAATAATATTATTAATTTCTTCCCTTCTCTGTTTTGTGGGTTTTCCTGTTTTCCTCTGTGCTGTAAAGTATCAATGGATCAAATGTGTTGCCTGTAAAGTGCTGTATAAACAAAACCGAATCAAATTGAATTAAACTGAATACTATGCTGGTGAATTGCCAGTGTTATAGTGATATTATCACCTTTCCATATAAACCAAAATGAAAGAGGAACTTCTCGCCCACTTACTGTGAATGCATTCATTCAAATCAAAAGATTGTAACAGCTGTCTTCACTTCTGCCTCTCTAATATGTGCACTTTATCCAAAGTGTCTCAAAAAATGTTGTCAGCATGTCTCACTGAAACCACTTTCTGTATTAGGGGCTTCATATATAATAGTATACAGTATATAATATATGATATGTAATCAATATAGATTCATAGTATTGATACCAGAGGTGGACAACACTGGTTGAACCACATCTTGTCCCACATTCTGATCACGGGACATGATGTTCCAGTCTTCCTGTGTTGCTAAGTAATGTGTCCAGCTCCAAGGCTGGTCCCTGGTGTTTCTATTATAGGAGTGAACCCTTCTTGACAATGTCCCTCCATCCTCCTAATCTCCCAGCAGTGTATTCTGCAGGGACACTGGGAAACAGCTGTGTTTGGGTGGGTAAACATAAAGCAAGAAATGAGGAAAAGCAGAGGGGAGTCTCCACATGTGGGAATAACAGTTTTTTAAAGATAGTGTTTTGCCAAAGCTCTGTCATCCTGAGGTCATGTTTATCTGAGAAACTATTCTTGGAATTACATTTACTGGTTCTCTGTGGTTCACTGAGAGCTCTTACTTTGGAAATGAAAGCACTGTGTCACATTAATTAGGAAAACCTGATGGTGGATAAACATAATATTCGATTACATGCATAAAGCAGGCAAGCAAAGTGCTGTCAGGATGTGAATTTCCAGGGATTACAAAGCAGCTTTGCTTTTCTCTCAGAGTTTTTTTCCAGGGTTTTATGAGGGTGGGGAGTGAGTCATGATGGTAACTACAATGTCAAGTCATTACCAAACAATGCACTTCCTATCTGCAGGCTGCCCAGCAGTTGGTGTCTATCCTGTTTTGGAATCCAGGGTAATCAGGGTCATATAACTCTTATAAGGTTTAATCCATTATAATTAACTAATACAACAGCGGTTCCCTATGGAACACCTTAGAGACCCCATAAACTCAAAAACATGTTTATGTTTATATGCCCTAAAATGTCAGGCATCTACTGTACTGACTGGTGTATGTGCACAGTCTGTCACTAACAGGGTGTTTTCACATTATTCTGATGAAGGGGGAAATGTTTGCCCACTTCCTGGAAATCCTGATTTCAAACATCCACAGGCAAAGCAAGTTTGTGATGACATAAATCTGAAAGCCAATTAGGGCTCACTATGCAAATATTGATGTTAATAAGATTTTTGTTCGACAGTGCCCACTGAAACCTGATACCTAAAACCTCTGACCTGGGATCAGCCAGAGCTAATTTATGAGTGATAGCAGTGTGTTCGCTAAAGTTGACCGTTGACAGTAAATATTCAGTTCTCTGGTACATCACTAGATCATATTTTGGATCATGTGAAAAAATAAAAAGTGACTTACCATCAAAGGTTATGGGACTGTAGTGGACATGCTGGAGTATCAACTGCAGGTTAAAACGTTACACTTGGCTCACTAACGCTACAGTATTAGTAGTTGAACTGTGTGCAAACAGCCCGCTGCTAACAATCCAGTCTCCCTGATGCACCAACTGAGAAAACAGACATACTGTCAAAATCTCAGCCAGACTGTAAATACATTTTCAACTTCAACTTCTTTTATACAATATTTCTATGTAATGGGTGATTGAGCAAATGTTGAAGCCAATTACAGAGATTCACTGAACATTTTTTGAGGAAAAACTGTTAGACTATATACTTTTTATAGCTGAGTATTTTTATATGCAAATATAAGTATTAAAATGTCTCTGGGGTCAAACTTTAACTTGAATTAGATGTTTTATTTGTGTTTTAGTAGACAAAGACTGGGTTCTACTTCATCACTTTCTTGCATTTTCTTTTTACATTTATCCACTAAAATACTTGTTTATATTTTACTTTATACTTACATAACTACATTTCAGACAGTAATATTGTACTTTTAGCTCCATTACATTAATTGACAGCTAGAGTTTTATATGTATTATATGAAAAGCTTATAAATAGTACATGAAAGACTGAACAAGTGGTTCCCAATGTTTTTGTCTTGTCACCCCTCACAGAAAAGCAGTTGGGGCTATGCTACTAATTAACAGATTGAGCACCCCAGCAG